GATAGTCATCAGCGCGAGCGGTAAAAACTACAGGCTTAGGGACCGGACGCATATCAACAAAATCTGCATTGCCATCTATCAAATATATATGCAGTATGTTATATTACTTATATAATGCATGGCATAAAAAGTTAACAGTTTCAATGAACAGAGTGATGTATATCTTTATATATACATATATTTAAATGTAATATAAGAAAATTAAAACCATACTATTACCTCTGATTATCAAGTATAATGAATTGTTTACCTTGAATTCTGATAACTTTAAAATCATTCATAACCTTCCTGCTGTGTTTTAGCTAAAGATGTGATAAAAACAAAGGAAATCAAATAAACACACATAAAAAATCAAAATACATTTCTAATGTCAGAGAAATGGGTAAGTGTCTTTTCTTCATTTCATTGGACCGGAAATGGTGACTAGGACAAATACCATCAATTTCATTGATGAGTATATTTATTAATAAGACGAGGCACGGAAGTGGCGTGTACGTTACAGAGATGACAACTGTCTGGGGTTTAGTTATAGCCCACACGTCTATAATAGCTATGTACCAGCAGGTTAACGACACTTAAACAACGCTTTAATAGAGGAAATATGATTTCAAAATGTGATGTCAACATTTTTATATTATTTATTTTCATTTGATGCAATATGCCATTAAAGGATGTTAGCATGTATGTTAAGCAATAAACTCGCTTTTTCTGTAATTCGACACGAAATAGATTACTTGTGTTCTGTTTTGAAGAAACATATATGGATGTAACAAAATTCAGTTACCAAATATGGGTATTCACTAATTGGTGTTTATAAAAGACAGACTCGCTCATAAAATTGACAGCCAATAATGAGAATACAGTACACCTTAAAACAACGATGCACGTGTCATAATTAATTAAAACAGAAATATGAGGTGTCTGTTTCAGGGAAGCACTATGAAAATGTACCATATTACAAACAACACCCATGCATATCGAATCAATTTGTATCAATTACAGTAATGGAAATGTGTTTATTTCAAAAACCGTTCCGCACATGATTTTTTAACTGAACTTTGAAGCATGACCAGAGTACTCTGTGATAGTGTAGAAAGGAGATGTTTGATTAGGACAAATTGTTACAAAACAGGAGAAACTAACCGCCTAACGTCAGCACTGTCGGAGGGCTACTAGTCAAGTTGTGCCTTTTCTTGGAGATTTATCCTTTTTATTTTTAAAAGGTGGAATATTTCATAACAGGTGCCCTTGACTGGTTATAAAGGGTGATATTATACTCTGAAATAATTAATGTTTGTTTAGGTGTAAAATCTTAATTTAAAATACCCCATTTCATATAAATGTTTGTTATTAATGTAAATTTGTAGAAATGCAGGTCATATGTCAAATTACATACAGGCTAGGGATTGTACACATGTCTGGAGCGGTATGTCTATATCAGATATATAATAAATACAACTAATATTTTCTCGCCAATGTAGGGGCCCCCGAGGTTTGATTGATGGACGTAGGGAGATGTTATCACGCCCCCGCCCCGTTAAACACGGCCCCCGGGGTGAACAACACACTTGTACAGCTAGTTTACACGGCTTTAGATAGCACCGGACACACACTGACCACCGATAAGGCTAGTACTACTACCGAAACACTCTCCTTTGTTATCACTGAAACCCGACAGAGATCTACATGTCAAAAACTGCTATTGTTAAAAAATATCTTGGCATATCTGAGCGAGTGAAATGAAAGGCAGGTATTTGTCCGCGTTAATAGAAAGACAAACAAACACGTCGTGACTGAATAGGGTCACGATAATGCCGACAGCGTTACGTCATTAAACTCTAATGATAGCTGGTGTTTACCGGTGAGACATCCAAATTGTCTTAACCGGTTTGGGAAATAATTTTTGTGTATGTTTTTATAGTTATCATAATTTTCTCGTTTCCCTTTTTTATTCACACATCGTTGAACAAGTTTTATTAATTGAATTAATTATTAAGTGATCCTATTTTAATGAAATCCAATAATTTTGCAATTAATTGATATTTCTAAGCATATATACTGAATCGAGTCAGTGCGTTTGAATAAAATACCTGAAATATTAATGGTGGCATAAATAGAAACGAAAACACTGCTTTAATACCAGTGTTTGACAAATAGTCGGTATCAGAGAGTCTTGTTACAACAGTTAGTCTAGTGTACAAACAAAAACAGTTATAGCCCATGTGAAAAGCCTGTTGAAAAGAACTGGTCATATTTTAGAAATTAAATGTCAGGAAGTAAGTATAATTAGTTGTAATATTGGTTTGAGTGATTCCCCGAGGAGGAATGAAGACAAAGCTAACTTATATCTACCGTAATGTTACCAGTACATTACAAAGACACACTCAGTTACAATGTTGTAGTATTATGTACATGTTGAGTTTTCTTCAATCAATCCAATGTCTTTCATTATAAATAAGATTTACAGGTATTTACGTAACTTAGTAAATATTGATTTAAAACACAAATCATCATGCATGCTTTGTATTTAATACATGTTTAAACAGGTATATTTACATGGATATTTCTTTAGCTCAAAAATAAATAAATTATTGTGCTATATGACCTACTGGATTATTGCATTCTTCTGAATTTTGTAATAAAAGTTGGAAAGTTTCCAATGTTTTTTTTGTTCATCACTCTAAAAATATCACGTTTTAATTATTAACATAAAAATGTTATGACTGTCCCAGATTAATTGATAGTAAAATTTCCTATAAGAAGCAACTAAACCTGATGTGTATTTCTATTGAAATGATGTATTAATCAGTAATATATTCATTTTAAACATGAAAATCGAAGCAGAGCAATTGATATAAGATGGAAAAGAAACAGTACAGACCGAAATACGGGCTACTGAGAAAAAACACCGTAATAGACACTATTGATAATAGGGTATTGTAAGTCCCGGACAGGAGTTGGAACTGATTATCCGGCAACTAAAATTAGGTGAACCGTGTATTGAGGGGCGGTGTTGTCCATGGGAAGCAGTGGCGATGCGTTCAGGCCGAAATCCAGACGAGGGGTAAAACACACACCACAGATAGCAGACCTCATCTCGGGAATGGCAGTGATAGAGGCAGATTAACTCAAGATAAAAAAAACGCCTGGTATATACTTTTAATTATGCATGAGCTAAAAAAGATTAAAAACCAAACACACACACAGAACCAAAATCAGGAGATAAAGATAATTAAACAATTCGCCCCTATTTTTTTTTAAACAACCAGTAAATTTCGTTGTTAAATCTCTGCTAAGCTGCATCCACATTTTTTTATTTACTTTTCATATAAGTTTTAGTATAGAAAAATGGTTATGAAGGACTTTACAAACAAAATCCAGAATGTCTTTGTCTGATGAGTTTGTTTAGCTGTATCAAATTTTATTCAGCCAGACAAACATTTTGGTTAAGTTTAATTTTAATTCTATAATAAATGTTAACTTATTTCAAGAAAAAAAATCTGATTTTTTTTCAAGAATATGCATTTATTTTATTTATAGAAAAACCCTCTATATATGTGTTTTCAACACAAATGTCATAGCAAATGGGTAGTGAATTTTCGGTGTTTAATTAATGAATTACAAAACAATGAAATCTATACAAGAAACAGTCATGTCTACAGGTAAGGCTAGCTATTGTATACAGGAAGTCAAGTTAGATCACATCCAGCCACATAGAGTACGGTTATCGATTCTTCGATCTTCACTCGACTGAAAAGGTGATTGAAACGTGATCACCCCTTCCGCCGTGTTCAGGAGACTAGGAGCACCTTGATGAGACTTCGGCACCTTTGTCAGGTAACTTCAAAGAGTCACCGCCAATTGGCCAATACTTAGAACAATACTTCTCTGTTGGATATGATTTCAGTTTTATTTCAACCCTTTGGTAAACTCGTTTAAATCTACCAAGTGTTGTTTTGAAAATTATCTTTAAAAAATCTTTGAAATATATACAGCGTGCGTAGGTACAATCAGTGTATGGGTACCTTTATAGACATTGCATATTTTTTCTTTTGTATGAAATTTATGTATTGATAAATATTCAAAGAGTATTTAATTTATCATCAAGAAAAAACAAATAAAGTCTATTTATCATTCTGAAGATTATATACAAACTTGTTAAAATCTTAGGAACAAATAGTAAGGAGGATCTATGGCCGTTCTAAACACTGAGGGTGGCATGGTCACGCTTCAATGACCGGATATGCAAATTTCCACTTTTCAATCGCTTTGATTTACGACGTTATTTAACCAAACAGATCAATTGAATGGCCGCTTTGGTGTAACAGAAATGTCACCTACGCGTTGATGAAAATTGCTAGTTTAAACTCCGCTGACAAAACGAACAAAAGGCATTATAAATTCTCAGTTACATAAAAATTGTTATAAATTCCCCATTAAGCTTTAAAACTTGAGGTCTTGTCTATAGAATTTTTTTAATCCGCAATATCGAAAAACTTTCTCAACCGCTTTCTAAGAGCAATGAAGAAAAAAACAACAAAATTGGTGAAGATTATAATAATAAAATATCTGACCCACGGCAAGAGTTCACAAAACGAACAATTTACTCTGAAAACCTCCACTTAAATAATGTTTGTATAATTATGACAAAACTTTCCGGTTGGTTGATTTCACAAGTACTAAATAATAAATGTATATGGTTTCACCTTCGTGATTTTTCACTTTTCATATATTAATATATCAATTACGCGTGAGTCATCTTAAAGATCAAAAAGATTATATTAAGGCTTTACCAAAACCATAACCCTCAGGTAATATATAAAAGTTAAATAAAAAATTAACATCAAAAGAATTGTTTTTCTAAAATACTCCCTCACTAACGGCCTATATATTTGTACATATAAAGTGAGCGGCGTCCATCACTTTCCGTTACATGATGTAATACGTATAGTTGGCCCGGAGTCGACCGTTCGCTCTGTACAGAGCTTATGAGATAGCCGGCTGTATCACACCTCAGTATGAATGAACGTTAACAATGCGTCGCTACCTCCTCGCTTTAAAAAATCAGTGGAGTATTACATTTTACCCATCGGCTGACAGCTAGAAAACCTCCCGCAGATAATTTGCCGAGTCGGATCAAAACCAATCAAAAGTCTTGTTACAAATTTGATTATGATAATTACGATCGCGGCCACATTACAAATGCTCTATTGATAATCATATTTTCGACATGCGCATAAGGGTATCTTATTTGTAAATCAGAAAATTGCAACACAAGAAGTTTTGTCATTCTCCTGCTTACTATACCTAAGCAATGTCACGTCGCAAGCAGCCCGTCCCTCGACACATCGAAACAGAGGATGAGCTTGCTACCATCTTGCAAAACGGTAAGTTTGTTTTGTTCGGAGGAAATAGGAGTTTTGTTGGTGGGCTATCAGATGTTTATTGTACGCAGCGCTTGCCCATAACACGTTTACGTGTGTGATGTGTGTATCGGTATTTGACACATGGTGGTTTATTTACTTGGGATACAAGACCTTACAAATATGACCAGGAATTACAAACCTTGGATGGACATTGTTTTTAACTAGTGGAGTGTTTCCAGGCATTTTGACCAACTTTCGTAAACCGTAGGTAAATACTTTCTGTTTATATGTACAATCCATGCTTTACCAGAGCGTGCGTGTGTGTATACTTGACGTTTGAAAAGTCCGCGAATTAACAGGGCTCCATGTAAATGTGTAAATATTGGGTATTGTTCTCCAACGGAAACCCGGATATTTGTTTAATTTAAATTAAGTTAATTCTTAATTCTAAATATTATATTGATTTGATAACGAAGCATTCAATAATGTAAAGAAATTAATATTTTCTCCGCGATTTTTTAATATAAATTCAGATTGAATATGTTTAAATTAGACAATGCCTGACGTTTGTGTTATTTTAACACAGTTTTTCTGTACAGATTGCAAGTAAAAAAATCGTCTGCATTCAAGTGTTTTGTTAAAAAAATCAATAATTATGCACGTGCTGTGAAAGTGATTTGACTCTGGAGATTAGTAAGGGTTAGCTGAGATGACAGATAGTCCACGCTGGATTATATTTTAGGATATTTTGGTTCAAGATAAATCCACTTAAGATACATTGGAAAGTGTTTAGATATAAACCTAAAGCACACAGGTATGTGATATTTTTTTTATTATTTCATTCAGTTTATTCTTCAAGTATTAAGAATATTAACACATTTTGTAATAGATATTTATTTGGTTAAATCAAATTATACTGAAGTTCTAATAATTCTAAATAATAGCTTTTTTATTAATTTTAAACTCAAAATTAAAAATAACTATTGATAGGTATAAAAGCTTACAAGTCACACAATAGAAATGTTTTATTGGGCGTTTTGATATTGGGTGTTCATAGATTGTTGTATAGGGAGGTTTAAATTCTTTGCTCTTGTGTGGTTATGTATTTGTTTTATCAATACACCACATACCCAACATGAGAAAATAATCTGCAGGCGTGCTTTGTACCAATAAATACTCCGATCCTACTGAACTTTATCCTAGAGGCAGCTTCCAATTCGTCTCCCAGTCGTACTCGAGTTGAGACAAACATGTCACAGCCTCGGTAAAAAGTATTAGTAATATTCCTTGTACAAACAGGATGACATGAGTAACTCATAAGAAATCACCATTCCTTTTCCTATCAATCTTTAAATTTCTATACAAAATCTTGAAGATATTTGATAAATAATACACAATACTGAAACTGATAATACCCTTAAGACTGGTTCTTAACAAAGAGATGTTAGGAAAGAAATCTAGCATGGATACGAAAGATCTAGGTTGCTAACTGGATAAATTTGTATGAAAATGTTATTCATTTGCTATACATATTTCAAATTTGATAGTCAATATCCCTAATGATAAATTATTGTAGATATTTTGTCAATGAGTTATAAAGGATTTACCTGTAAATCTTACCTGTAATCAAGTAGCCAGATAAGTCAATTACAAAGGACCACATTCCAGTGAAAGGAAAGGTGAGATATAGCCGAGGGTTTAGGAGTGTTTCTGGACTATCTAGGGATGTAAAATAGTTTGTGTAAAATGGCCTAAAGAGAAAGGTTTCTATTAAAAACTGCAGTTAGATAAACTACATGTCTACAGTCTCAGTGGACAAATGTATCTAAATTGTAACACCTATTTTTTTCAATATCCTTTTTTATTTTCCAAAACTTCCCATAAAATTAAGTTGTAGTGACAGCTTAAGTCTTTTTAACTTTAAAACAGTGGATTTAAAATATCAAACTTTATTTTAACAAACGTAAATTTTCTTTCAAACCGTCAGTTTTATTGGTATTGAGAAATATATTTTTCTGTTTCAAGATAGTTTCTAAGATACAGCCATTAATTTTGTCCCCACTAAAATGTACGTTGGTAAGGATGCTCAAAGGGGAGTTGAAATAATGTTATTTGTAGAAGAAACTTTCCTTAAAATGTTCCAATGCATTTCAATAAGAGCTTTTGTTGAAATTGATGATGGATATCAATTTCATTTTTCACAAATGTCAAATTTTTTATTCTTTTCTACCCCCAAAAGAAGACCAAGAGGATTTATATATTTTTCCTTGTGTACAAACTCTGTGTTTGCTTTTAAAAGATCATTTATCAGTGGTTTTAAATAACGGCACAGGAGAGGTTTTCAATCTCAGAAATTGATTTAAGAATCTTGAATTTGTTTTGTCGGTCATCAATTCCTACCCAGATGAACAGTTAGAAGGTTTAGTTAGAGGTAGAGAAAATGTATTGGGTTGAAAGGAACAGGCATTGATGGCTGGCTGTAGATAACCGCGCGGAAGATGAACAAGTGTGATAGGGAAAGATAGATTGTAAGCAATGACATTTCAGACTAGGGGCCCAAAGCTCCAGCAGCTGCTCGGGGGATGGAATTTTGAAAAATTTTGACAGTCTATTTAGCAGGAAAGGCCGTTAGAACTGACATATCTTGGATGAGTTGGTTGTGATACATGTTTACCTTGAAATAGCGGCAGGCAAGGAAAAAAACAGCTTGTTTCTTGTGTCCAGATTTTTGTGAGAAATGATTTTATCTGTAAACATTTTTCGGAAAAGTTTTGTTTTGTTAAAATCAGTTTCGGCATTGCTTTTAAGTTCATTTAGTTTAACTCAGAAGATAACACCAGAGGTGATAGTCATCAGAAATTCAATACAGGGTTAAAATGGGAGGTGTTTAGCTTATAGAATAGCTAAAATATTACAGTTGTTTCTTTCAGACTGCTTAAACAAGAACAATTATTAAGCTTTTCATTATTTCAAAAACAATTTCTATCTTGTACTTTTTATCAAGTTGCATAAAAAAGTGATGAATTATTTGATGGAGGTTTTATTCAGAACTTTAAAAAAAAGTTTAATATTTCTGATGTTAACTTTATGTGTAAAACTTTTCTCTTCTTAAATATATATTTGATATTTATTTTTTAAGGAAATTAATAGGTGACATATAATTGTAACAACAGTCCTTTCTGTGATATTGATCTTAGTAAAAATGGTATATGGTTATCTCCCCTTTGATGGTAGGAGACGGTGCTAAATTTTGAAGAAAGGGAATGTGCTGATCTGATTATTTTCTAAGTGTTCTTATACTTATTTCAATTAACCCACATAATTTTAAAGTAGAATACATCTTGTTTTATTTTTCTCTATAAATTAATTCCTGTGTGGGACAATTTTACTGTCCAGGTCCAAAGTGAAATGTTTGCTTCGTGGTATCCGCTGACAACCTAGGGGTCATTTATGTGACCTTTATCTCGAGCTTAAAATGAAATATCAAAGCATCCCTTAAATGTATCTTTAATCTGTGAGATATATTGTAAACACATATTACTGTCTCGAGGAAGTGGAAGGTGAAAGTATGGTGGATGTTTAGCCAGTCAATGTTTGCTCTCCATTATCAGTTGAATTTTCATCCTTAGTTATGATAAAACTTTATGATTTGAAGTTTTGCTTTGTTTCTACAGCTTTTCCCATTAGCAGAGGATAGTCTAGCCGAATATCTTAGCTTTTGTGGTATTACACGGACTGGTAATGGATACAAATGATCGCATTTGGTCAACGTTACATCTCCCGCCTCAAAGATGCAGGGATATGTCTGTAATATTCAAACACGAAAATTCCTTCACTGTCCCCTACATATTGACATTTTATTGGGAGGATGACACGCGGGACGTATTTACTTTCATCCTTGTTCCTGTGTGATTAATCAACAGACAAACTTGTATATTATCTTGTGATAACGGCCTGCTAACTTCTACGCAGAAAGGGAAAAAAATATTTATACGAAAATTTTCAGCTTACACTATGTACCGATAAGTTTAGTGTTGACTCAAGTTTAAAAACAGATAGTTGCCTAGCAAATTATAAAGTAGTAAAAGTATTACACACAGATATCGTGAACAAGTAATTTATAGCTGTATTAAATTCATATTTAAAAAGAACTGGGAAGTTCTAAATTATACTTGGCAAGATATGTAACATAATTTATGTAAATACCAGGACAAGTCCGAAGTTTCTTTCCTAACCCAAGCCTCTCGTCTGGTATCCCGGTAACTGTAACGACTGCCTTCTGATTTATACTGCTTATTATTGATATTTTAGAAAATGAAATAACTTGTTGGTTGGCCGAGGGTCAATCAATGTGATCCATTATCCAGACTAAATATAAATATATTTGTACAGGGCGTGATCATGACAATGGATTGGTGTGGGAATTTAAAAAACTCTCAAATGTGGTACAAACACACAAAAAAGATACAGTTATTGATATCCTGGTTTCTTTTGAGTCATTTCAACTTTTATATTAACTTTTATATTCTGCCAAAAGGAAAGTGATGTATGTGTTAAAGGTACCTGTTTGTGTCTTCTTGTGCATAATTATGAAGTTCAGTTACAAAAAACTTGTCAAATTTCTTTTGTACTCCAGTGCAAATAGATTTAAAAACTTTGGTGGTCGGATAGGATTACTGGGACTGATCAGGTGTTATTTGTACCAATCTCTACAGAAAAGGGATCCCAACCAGCAGACAAGGACCTTTTGGTATTTGTGACCTTGAGGACAACCAGATCTTGCCTCAGGTACTTGAAGATCCATTTAGTTTTACACCGACGACACCTATATAATATCAAAGGAAAAATATCATAATCTGTCTTTGGGAACAATATCGACCACCTATATAATTATTCGGCGAACTAAGTCAGATTTTACATTTAAATTTTTCACAATAATCGATTGGTATAAAAGATATTGATGAATGTCTTTTGGATATCGTAATATATCTGACCTTGTCACAATCTCTCCATGTCTTATC